GGGGTCGGGGGGGGGCCCGGGGCGGGTCCCGGTCCCGTGTGTACCGGCGGGCCGCGTGTTTGAGAGGCGAGTCGGGCCCCGCCCAGCCCCGGCCTGGCCCCAGGCCCGGGTCCCAAACGCCCCTCCGGGAGGCGGCCGGCGAAGCCCGGTCTCAAACGCGATTCATTTCTGGGTGCAAAGTTTCAGTAAACATTTATTGTAAGCTTTGTCACAATACCATAGTTGATTCGTGAAACCGGTCTACAAATATTTAACTACAGAGTACACTGATTGGGTGGTCAGATAAGTAATAAATAAAGGCATGTATAGCTCTGTAAAAAATAAGTTGGATAGATTTGTAACTGCTTAACAATATTATCAGTAGAATCTAGTACTTCCCTACAGATCATATGTCAAAAGTATACACACATCACCTCTTCAGACCAAGTTATTCTTTACATAAACACAATTGTACAAACTTAAACACTATAATCTTGAAATCCGATGTACAAAACAGGATGTGGAATCACTAACATCAGTGCCGATAACGAGTGCTACTATAGCAAATACCATTTCTGATTAAAAGGAAAAGATCGATTTTTATATGTGCTGTCATTACCGTTCGATGGAGTTATCCAAACGTTTAAAATACATGCGGATACAATAAAACCTTTTATTTTCCCAGACAAAGAGAACTTATGGTCATTTACGTCATTAGCTGCCAAATACGGATCAGTACATGAGGCAAGTCACACTTAAAAACTTCTACACCATCAAAGAGCTAAGATTGATACTGGTCTATTTTCCACACTAACAATGCAACAAGTCTTTAAAAGCAAATCACAGTTTGAAGGACGCACTATTAAGTACAGCACTGAATTACACCAGATTTTATACACTGCACTCTGACACCCAATACCACTTTTAAAAGCATTGCATTCCGAATACAACAGATCAGTTATCTATAGGCAAGGCATGTACTTCCAAAGAAATTGCTACGGATGTTAGTTTGGCAAAAACGTGAAGGTACTGAAAACACTACAGTAGTTTCCAATATTAGGTCTTAAAGTACGAAGTTTAGAACACTCAAGACCCTACCAGCATTTCTGATACCGGCCAGCCTGCAGCCCATCCTAAAGGGTCACGTCGGCCAGTTACAGAAGGCGACGTTCTTTCAAGCAGCAGCCGCTGCCAACGGGAAGGTCAATAAACGGGAACCACTCTGGATGGGCGGCCGCGGGGGGAGAGGACAGATGGGCTGCGTCTCCTACCCACCTGCCCCTCAGCTAAGCTGCGCCACTTGACGAGCAGCTCGCACCAGGCCCGACGCCGAGGGAAGCGGACGTTAGAGGAGTGCATAGATGCTGCTACCCACCTTCCATTAAGCTTCTAGTGGTCGGAGCAAAAGGCTGGGAGCCGCGAGATCTGGGTTTTATTCTCATTTCTGCCACCGACTCGGGCAAGTCTGTCAAATTCCATGTCCCGGTTCGATACCTGCACATCTCTGCGAATTCGTACGAGACGCTTCTAGCAATGGCAACACAAAAGCAGTGCAACCACTGTCACGAGAACGAGTTCTAAAAAACAGAGCAAAAACCTCCATGGATAAACTAGATGACTTGGTATGGAAAATATTTGTAAAAGGTATTTACAAAAGTTGAAAGAGATCAAGTACAATACCACATTCATGTCCCAAAAGCGCTTTCACTACAGTGCATGTTTAAAAATACAGAGCATTTTTAAAGTATATATATACTGAAGATTAGACTGTGCTTTAAAAAAAAATCATACGTCTGATTTTGACTAATGTGAAAACTGAGCGCTGGGAAAAATACTGATTAAAAATATCCAATTTTATACATACCGCTTTTCACATAACATTTTGCTATACATGGGATGCAAGTAAATATAAAAATACTTTTTTTCAAGCAGCAGTGTGATCAAAATTAAGCATATTAATATAGGAGGGCTGATTTTACAAAACTAAGATAAATGATTAGAGCGAGACAGGGAGAAACTATAATCCAAATTAACTTTTATATAGTATTTTAAAAGAAATCTTTATCATAGACAACTCTTAATATATAAACGATTCAGTATTTTTAACTTCAACGTTAAATATGGATTACATAAAATACAATCTATGCAAAACTGACTCATGCAGATCGTCCTATGGAAGTCGATGGAGCCGCTTACACGAGCGAGGTTTGCAGACTTTGGTCCTCAGGCCTCAAATTTAGCAAAACATGTAAAGACCTGACAAGCTTTGCTCATCAATTTCTAATTTCCAGGTTAGTGTTTTAGCCCAGTCCTCTGTGCACAACAGTAGGGAAAACTGAGTTGACAGGGAAGACTCTGTAATACTATGGAAAATGAGCTGTAAAAAGGAATATACTGTAATTTACATTTTCAGCTTTACAAAGTGGACTATTTGTTGCCACAGTACTTAATCTGTTCATGGGAAAGATTTTAAGTTAGGAAAAGCAGTTACTCTGCAACTCTAAATGTATATTTCTTGAAAACTCAGGTGCAGGGGGATTTACAGGTGACATAAAAAATTAAAATGGATTACAACAGTGCCAACTGCATATGAACTTCAACCGTGTTGAACTTAAGTGATCACAGTTTGGAGTAAAGGCCATTAACATGGATTTTAAAATAATCCCTCATGTAAATGTCACATACAGCCCAAAATAGGTCAGGCAAGTAACACACATTTTACGAAGAGTATTAAACTTCAGCATTAAGAGAAAAATAAATTCACCCCACAGTTACATTCACTTAAGTGTCACATCCAACAAAAGCTCTATCCAACGAAACACGAAGCCCAAGCGCCAAGCTGTGCTCAGCTGCCCCGGCCGGTCCCACTGGAGCCGGCGCTCGCAGGTGAAGCAACAGCACGCAGATCACCTATTCATATTTGTTCCCCTTCCTTTTTAACCAGTCCCTGTCACATATCAGTTTTTGTTGCATTTTTTTCTTTACTTGTTCGTTTAGACGTTATGGAATATGTAGTTCTTCAGCTGTGGTCCATTTTACCTCTCATGGTATTGATACTGTGCTCATCGCTGTGGTTTAGATGCTTCCCCTCCCTCCCCCCATTTATACCCTTGGATGCTATAGGTTACCAAGTTAAACCACTTACCGGACTTTCTTCCCTGAGGTTACCTTTGTTTCGATGCATTTCAGCAAGCCTTACAAAGCCAGTAGTAGTCTACCAAGCTAGTTGATTCTAAGGTTACAAATACATAGAATCCTTCAAAATAAAATTGCTTCTAAGCTCCTACATCACTTTGAAATGTGACTGTTTAATACAGCCTTCTCGTAAGGTGACTCACCTTCCCCAAAACCCAATATAGCGAGGACACAGACTTCAAGCAAAAAGCTCCTACAAAACTATTACAATTTTAGAAAAAAATCCAGATCTTCCTGAAGATAATTTATTGCCGCTTATTGGTCCTGAGAAAGCTTTAAGCAACAATACATTTGCAAGTGTTTTAACTGCTGCCTTTTTTGAGAAAGTTTGTGGGTCCTGAGATCAAAAATGTTTTATTCTATGCACTTATGCTTGGAAAATGCTTCACCGTAAAGATGAAATATGAATTACAATTTGCCAGGCTACATCTCTTCCCTTTGTGTCAATTTATTAAAACAGATTTCCTTTCAGACACCAAATTAAAGTTCTTGAGATGAAACGCAATGAAATAATTGCACAGGTGCACTTCTCGATTCCTCATACTGGACTGGCATTTACAGACTTCAAATTTATGAAATCTTCCTTCTCCCTTATTTCCCACCTCCTATTAAAAGCTATGGTGCGAATTTTTTGGCCTGGATACCAGAAAATTCCTCATCTGATACTCTATGAAAGGCAACTTCAAGGCAATGAAATAAGCCAACAATAAACCAAAAACATTCGCAAATTTGAAAAAAAATGCGGACCCACAGCAGTTACTTCTCAATGGAAGTGTTTGGTAGCTTGAGATTTTTTTTTTTCTTTTTAACTTTTTAAGTGTCAAATTTGCATATGTTTAGCTCATTTTCAATATTTGAAAGACTACTCAATTTGTTTTTTATAAAAACTTTACAAAAGATGTTTTAAATGCTTGTAAAAGTAAGCGTTTATCTACTGAGAAAATTCTAGTACTGGATAAAACTCTCTGAATATACAGCTGAATTTTTTAAATGTTTTTTTTTTTTCCTACAAGTATAATGGCTGAGTGTATAATCTAGATAAATTAGTCTTACACATGATGAAAAGTTATAACTTTGCACACTTTTTACCATGTGATGTTTTGTTGCTTTGTAACTTCGAATGAGACAGTGCTTAGGAATTTTCTAGAGCTGGTGTACAGTGGTCTATAGGGGTTGGTTCACTGGTCACTGCCTCTGTCCAGGTTTTCAATCACCCTAGAAAGACGTATGTTCAGAAGTCTGATCTGACTGTCAAGGTGGTCCATCTTCTCCTCAAGGCTGCTGTTGCTGTTTCTTCTCCAGTAAAATCCAACTGGCCCCGTCATGAAGTAGACTGCTACAACAAAGCAGAGAGGCAGGACTGCATGTTCTGGGTCACCTTCATACTTCTGGAGGATGTACACGCACGAGAGAGTGAAAAGGGCAACCCTCGCAATCCAGAAAAAGCGACCAAACAGCATGTGCAGGAGATAGAAGAAGAATCCAAGGAAGAGAGATAAAAACCAATAGGCAAGTAAAATGGCACCAATCAGCAGAAGAGCACGGGTCGGATTGTTGGCAATTGCGGCTGGGCTGAAATAATGAGTCAAGTTGGAGGCTGAAAAACAAAGGAAAATTTACAGAATATTAACAAGTGCACGCCAAAGTGGTAAGGGCAAAAATGGAAGCACAGCTTCAAAGGGTCATGCAGTGGGATCATGGCTGTGTTTTCTGAAGGAAGGGGTAAAGCTAGTTCCTCCATTTCTGGATGGACCTTTTTCAAATCACTGGCTCAGCTCCAATGATGCAATTGAATCAGTTCCTTTAAGGTAGAGGTGCTAAAGGTTCTTTGAAGACAAACTACTATAGGGCCTAAGGTCGAAGTTCATACTGAGGCTAAAGATCCTCCTTTGTAAAAGTTACATTCTGAAGGCTCTCATTTGCACCCTTCCTTCTTCCAGTCCTCCTTTATTTCCCTGCACCATTCCTGGCCATGTGCATCCATTTAACAATGATACCAAGAAACCAACCATGACTTGTAATGCGTTTTATAGACATCCTATAGATACATATAAAGAAACGGAACGGCTGGTTTTAGTCCTCATGTTTAAAGGTACTAATAGCAAAATCAAAGCCACGTGAAGCGAATAGATATACCACTGATGGATGTTTAATGCAGCACGATAAAATGTAATTATTTTCCCACTTGGCCTATGCTTGTAAACATCGATACAGGCTGATGTAGTTCAAGAGTTAACAGGCATCACACTTACCATCAATTCCAAGAACATCTAACAAATCAGTCCATATTCTCCAGAATGTGTCCATTAATATATCCACCCCATTCACAAACCTCTCTGTCAACCTTGAGAAAAACTGAGAAATAAAATTGAAAATTAAAAAAAACCCACCTCAATTCCTTAAACACACTTTGAGACTTATTAGTCATGAGTAGACTTATAATTCATTAAGCAAGAATTGCAGGCTATTTTGAAGTCCCTAAGGAAAAAATTGTAACTCTGTAAATGTTTTTTAACTCTGCAAATCAGAAATTTACTTATTACGGTTGTCCTTATTCTAGGTATTTTGGCATGTAAATGTCGATGGTGACAGGATTTTAAAAAGCACTTCATTAGCTTTACCATTGGCCTGAAGTTTAAAGAAAACACTATTGCCAGCAATGGACATTGGTAAAGCAAATGAGAGAATTAGTTTTATAGAGCAACTGAGAGATGTCCCCAGCATCACACCCAAATGCCAGTTTTACAGTATTATGTCTTCCTACTGGCCGAGGAAAGAAGGAAGAGAGGAATGTATAGATACGTCTGCCTGCACGCCTGATTTCCTGCAAGTTCATATGAGGCCCCGCAAACACAGGATGCTCTGCTGATGCAGACAGACCATATTTCAGTTGGAGGGCTCCTCACCGACAGCGGTCTGCCCTGGCCGCCTCCTCCACCTAAAATAATCTTTATTTACAGGTTTCCGGTTTTAATATTTTTTTGCCGTTTGCTCCACGTCAAGCCTGGCCTCCCGTCTTCCTTCCCCAGGCAACGCTCCAGCCGTTCCACCGCCTCACCGGCAGCCGGGCTCGCACAAGAGACGAGGCCGCCGCGGGTCCAGCACCGACCGCCGCGCCGGGGGCGGGGAGGGGGCGGCCAACCGCGGGGCTCTGCCTCACAGAACCGCCCGGTCACCCCCGGGAGCAACGGCGCGGGGAGAGGGCGCGAAGGGAAAGGAACCGAAGGGTTTGTAGGGGGAGGGAAAGCGGCCGGCGCCTCACCTTCTGCAGGGCCCGCACGTTGTCCTCGCCGAAGAGGCCGCTGACGCCCTGGTAGAGACCGCTGGCGGCGCGGCGGAGGCTGTTTTGCTTCTCGGCGCCGCGGCTCCGCGCTGCCCAAGCGCCGGGTCCCGCCGTGCCGCCCAGCAGCAGGGCGAGGAGCAGCA